TCGTGATTTACGGTGACTCCTAGATCCAAGTGCATCTCAGCTTGTGGGAGTGGCATCCCTCCTATATAGTGCCAGCCGATACAAGTGTATCCGCTAAGCATGACTGCAAACTTCTCTATGTATACTCTGAGAACCCATCATTTAAATGCTCTGGATAATTAGTATTTCCATTGTTTTGGCAGAGATAATGATATTGCTGACCGGCTAGCAGCCTTAAGGATATTGTCTGGATCCTCCTTTGGAGGTCAGGGTTACTATGACTCTTTCAGTCACGTGACAACAGCCATGTGAGAGACAAAATTCAAAGACTGTAGTAACTAGGATGGCTATGTAAATTATCAGCGCCCTGTGAAGCTTTGTATGCAGGTCGGTATGCCCCACTGATTTCCAGTGTGTGATTTATTTTCCGGTTTGATAGCTAACACGCTTATTGTCAATGGAGTTGAAGATTGAACGATCAATTCACGGTTGTTTGCTCAAAATCAACTTCCTCGATTTTCGTGGAGGCATCAATACGACAGTCATCGTCTCATCGGTCGCTGTTCAGAAAGAAGATTGAAACATCGTCAGAAGTAATACAGAGATTTATTATTGTAATATTTGTTTTCAGACCTTAGTTTGCTTAGTTCGCTTATTCCTTTTATATGTTGGTGTAACAATAAAGAAATATCAAACGGCAGATCGGTGTTTTGGTTTTTGCGTCCGTTATAACTAAGCGTTTCTGAGAAATCTTCTAAGAACAGCGTGGGCCCGAGCGTAGCGAGAGCTGGGCATTAACGGTTTATGAGAAGTGATTGGCAGTTTCTGACGATGGAAACAGATCTGGCGGATTCAAACAGTTGGTGAAAGTTTGGATAGTCGCCGTTCATTTTTCCTGGTGCCGGTCAAGTCCTCTTTGAACAAGCAATATCTGGAACTGTTTTGGAATTGGGTCAAGTTCAACAATGCCTGGGTCAAAGAAGGGACAGAGTGTCTTGGATGCAAACAGGAAAGTAAGTCATGGTGACTTGTCTGTTAATTGTAACGATGTGTCTGATGTTAAGCATGACATGGTTGATGTTACTGTTTCGCCGTTCAGGGATAATAGGAACATCAAACTCCCTAAATTTGAACCACGGTGTTTTGATGGAAACCCGGCTGATTATTTACAATTTGTAAAGGAGTTTGAGATCATGCTGAATAGTTTTCTATTAAGTGATGAATTGAAGTTAATGTATTTGATGAGATATTGCACTGGAGATGCTTCAAGAGATATACAGTGCTGCAAGTTTATGAAGCCAATGGAGGGCTACGATGAGGCTATGAGCATATTACGCCAAAGGTTTGGAAGACCCTCGATGATTGCAGGGAAATTATTCGAGGCTGTTGAGGGTAATGGTGGTCAGTTACAGGATGACTCCCAGGCACTCACTGAGTTTTTAGATAATTTGCTAATTTACAAGAATGGAATGATTTCGATGAATCGAATGAGTGACCTCAACTCGAGTTTTATACTAGAAGTAATAGCAAGACGTCTACCTACCCGACTGCAAAGGAAGTGGGTGAAGATGAGCTCCCGTATGGAGGATGAGGGTATCGAGCCAAGGTTTGATGATATCCTGAAACTGGTAAATACTAGTGTCAATCAATCTATGAGCAAGTTCTCCAGTCTGTTAGATCTCACCCCTAGAATAGAGCAGTCTGAGATCAGAATGCAATCATTGATGACGAGTGAACTCAGAGAGGTGGATATCGAGAAGACTCCATGATGTCTAGTAATGCATATAGACCTAGTGAGTGTAACAGGTTTCGTAGTACATCCTCAACAGATAAGTTACAAGATGCAAGACAAACACGGTTTTGTTTTACACGTGTGCAAGAGGTGCATACAGAAGTGAACTGTGAACCAGTGAGCAAGTTCAGTGATAAGCTAAATGTAAACTCCAGGTCTGACTCCGAATTGTGTGACGATAACGGTGTTGTGAAGAAGTCTGTAGTTGCAACTGGTAAGCCGTTGTTGAATAGAGTGTCACAGAATAGAGTTACTGCTTCAGAGTGCAGTTCTGACTCCAAAAGTTTACAAAGTATAACTAGTCAGAGTGAAGATATAAAACCTTTAATGATTTGTGAGGAGGAACCAAAATTGTCTACTTCTGTTATTAAAGAGTTTGAAAATGATGAAGTTGACGGTAAAGTGAATATTCGTGATAATGATCATGATACTTCACAGTTGTCTTTGGTTGATCATTATGAGATGAGGGATATGCCTACTACTGCTAAGTTCAACAAAGGTTCTGTACAACTTGAACGTGAATTGGAAATAAATGCAGATGCAGTTCCAGAAGGTATGCATACTTGTGAGACAGTCAGTGTAATTGATCAGCGTGTAGCCCACCTATCATCAGATGATAGTGCTAAACCCGAACTAGTAGTGAAAGACAGCAGTGGTGGTAATCTTGCAGTTGGACAACTATCTGAAAGCCGAAAAAGAACAGCTTCTGATCCACCGCTAACTTCATCACCTTGTGTCACTCAGTCATCGTTGGTGTTGTCATCCACAATGAAACAGATGCCCATCAACTCAAGTATCTTGTGCAATGACTATGATAGTATTGGTGCGTTTGAAAAGACGAAAGATATTGCTCAGTTTAGTGTGGATAAGCCAAGTGTAAAGGAGAGAGTTATTGTTAAATTGACTTGCACGAATAAAGGCATTTCTAGTTTCAAGTTACTATTTGAATGTTATTATCTTTGGTGTAAATTACTCTGTTTCTATACTTGGTTGACCAGATACGTCGTGTGTTTGTTCGTCATCTATATTCTACGATACAATGACATGGGCGTGTTACCGTTCAGATTTGAGGACATAGCTGATAGAGGGAAGTCAGCAAATGAACTCTGCGACGATTTTCCAACCTAGAGCGTCAACCTGAGAAGGGTTGTAGGCGTACTGGTGTAAGTCCTACAGTTCTTTAAAGGGTAGCGCATCAATGATCAGTCCAATGTGCTTGGTGTATGATCTTGTACTTATGTTCATATTGTATATACTGAATTGATATCATCTGTCATCTATCTGTTGGTAATTCTGTTTGTGTCCGGACGACTTCCACTTGGATCATCAACCTGAGAAGGAATGTAGGCGTACTGCTGTAAGTCCTACAGTTCTTCAAGGGTAGTTCGTCAAGGCAGAATCCACCACATTTGATATGTTGATTGTACATATGTTTGTGTTAAATAATTGTGTGAGTTCCAATTATTGTAATTGTTGGTTAATCATGTTTGTGTCCGGACATTCCACAACTTACAATCGTCAACCTGTGAAGGGTTGTAGGCGTACTGGTGTAAGTCCTGCGATTCTTCAAAGGAATTCCATCGACACACGATCCGCGAGTTTGTGTGTACTGTTTGTATATACGTGTGGTGTGTCATATCAATTGGTGTTTTTTGGATTCATTGTGTTTACTCGCTGTTTTCGTACCTTGTTGTTATTGCGTAATTTTGTTAAAATTTTCGTCGTGATTACTTCCGAAGTTGTTTCGAGTCTTCTACATCCATGAATGAATTGATTGATGTTAAAGACAGCAGATGGGTCGTATACGCCGGGGAGGCTATTTCTGAGAATGAAATGCACACGGAGATAATCGTTAGCTGCGGTCCGACACGCCGGGGAGAAAGAGTGTAAACGACTGAGGCTCGCATGCGTCACCGCTACTAGAACTGAGGCAGAATGAGTGACAAGCGATTTCAGTGGTAATTGGTAATGAGTAGATAAGAGGATGTGCGTAGAGTATCGTGAGGTGGTGCTATGGTCACTTTGCATTCTGCAAGAGTCATTCTAGCAAGTGGAGACTGTGTTGCAAGATGTCAAGTGGAGGTCTCTATCTGGAGGCGCAAGTCGTCATTGATGTGTGAGATTGTGCTGTGGGTATGCTTGTGGTGTGTTGGCTTTTCTGTTTGTTTTCCATTTCAGCTCTGTCCGTGTAACCCAGGTTCTCGCAATGGCATCCAAGTCAACGTGCATTGGTCGTGAAGGAAAAGAGGGTTGGATCCCTTATTTGCCGGGGAGTGTCAATGGAGTTGAAGATTGAACGATCAATTCACGGTTGTTTGCTCAAAATCAACTTCCTCGATTTTCGTGGAGGCATCAATACGACAGTCATCGTCTCATCGGTCGCTGTTCAGAAAGAAGATTGAAACATCGTCAGAAGTAATACAGAGATTTATTATTGTAATATTTGTTTTCAGACCTTAGTTTGCTTAGTTCGCTTATTCCTTTTATATGTTGGTGTAACAATAAAGAAATATCAAACGGCAGATCGGTGTTTTGGTTTTTGCGTCCGTTATAACTAAGCGTTTCTGAGAAATCTTCTAAGAACAGCGTGGGCCCGAGCGTAGCGAGAGCTGGGCATTAACGGTTTATGAGACTTGGCTGACACTTATAATTAATTTCGATCGAGTTATTTTTAATGAAGAATCGAGAAACTGCCGTTTACAAATAAATGAATAAATATTAAGACACTGGATACTGTTTTGTATGCAGTCACATGACATAGAGCATATATATATTATTCTTCAAACTTAATGAGCTGACTGTTGTTACGTTTCCTATTTTCGTTTCTGTCTCTTAGTCTGAATAGCCTCACTAATTATATCTATTATTATTATTATTACTATTATTATTATTATTACTATCTCTTTTCTCTTGTCGACAATACCGAAGGACTAACTGGCGAAAGGATCAACTCCAATCACAGTAGTAACAGTCTTAACATACCTCATACTACAAACCACATATAATTAATCCCAGCACTACTCCCTTTGGAGTCAACCAAAGCTACGACAGTCGAGTGGCGGGACAAGCTACGCTGAAGTTTACCGAAGATCAAGAACCTATACCTCACAATCAAGAAGCGAGCACAAAGAAATCAAATTGGTTTATACTAGCTTGTAAAAACGATATTGGATATTGGAAAACATTGTATTGCGAGGCCTATCTGTTTGTATGCGTTACATCAGCTGGAATGGTGTTGGATGTAAGTCAGTTTGTGACTTCTTCATATTGTTCTCCGCTCTAGGCTCGTTTGCCTAATACCCTCAACTTCCAAGATCGGGAAATTTACAAGACAGGCTTTTCTGGCCTCGACTGTATGAGAAGAGATGGCAAACTATGTGACATTACTTTGATTGTGAGTTCTGGAAAATTCATATTGTGTTCTAGGCTGATGGCGATAGATTCACTGCTCACAAAGTCGTTTTAGCAGCTACTATTCCGTTTTTCAATGGAATGTTTCTAAGCAATATGTCAGAATCTGTTAAGAGTGAGGTATCCATTCATGGGATAGATGCATGGTAATTTTGTAAATTGCTAATTTTTGCCTAGTGCTTTAGAAGCATTTATTAGTTATGCTTACACTGGTGTGGTGCAAATCACACCACGTAATGTTCAGTCTATCTTGATTGGGGCTAATTTTCTGCAACTTAATAGTGTCCGAAATATATGTTGCCGGTATATCAGTGAAAGGTGAGTTTTTCAAAGTTGATCGTATGTTCATTATATGTCATTAGTAGCTGTCATCTGGACAGCACTTTTTGAGCACTTAGTTGCAGGGAATGTATAACAATATTAGGTATATCACTGTTGATTAGACAAAAGAACAATTTACGTTTGACGCCAAAATGTTCCTTGTTTTGGCAGTATACTGGTATCATTGACAGTAAAGTTTTAACTCGCAGTTTACAAGTTGTTGAACACATCTGCAATGAACATGGCATTGCAGGATGATTCATCCCCTGATGGTGCATAAATATTAAAAAAGTTGAATAGTGATGCCAAAAAGGCCAAGTTAATGTATAATGGTCCAGGAGTGCGAGCGCTCCAATGAACTTGAACGCATACTCTTTGTTGGGTAACTAGACCTACTGTTACTGTAGTGTCAATATAAACGCTGTGTACAAATCTAGCTGAAAATTTATCCCGTCTCGTCTTTACTGTGTGGACCATGTGTTAATGTCTGGTTAGGGTCATGGTCACGATCAAGGTTAGGATCAAGGCTAGGTTTAAAGTCAGAGTTATGATTAGGGTTAGGGTTTGGATTAAAGTTAAGGTTGCGACTAGGATTAGGTTTGGGGTTGGTATCATTCATTTTTATTACCCTCATTTTTAAGGAAATGGATGTCGATCCTCATGCTGGAATCCACACTGATTTAATCGAGGCCTTTTGAGGAAAACTGATACACAGGAGTAGAGCGACAAATGGGTGGCAAGAACTTATCTTCAGTCACCTTAGTGAATACGTGCACAGAAATCGGTCTAACTTAAAAATACGTCCAAATTATTATGAGTATCAATTTTTGAGTGATGTCAGGAAAAATTATCCTGTTTGGTGTGTTTTTATGTATTTCGCGTGTAAATAAACGTCATTCTAATGCGAAACCACAGCACTTCCTAATAAGTCGCCTCTAAATCGCCCTTGCGTTTTTATTCTATGGGTCGTCATCGTCTAACTTGGCTACAAAAAGCAGTATAAATGGGATATAATAGAGTAAGTGTTCTGCCTTATCACAGCAAAACGATTAAAGGGTGGTTCACAAAAGAATAACTCCGTAGCCAAATGATAAGCTGAAAAAAAGAGTGGATCGAAAACGCCTAGCTGACAAACGTATAATATATGTAACATCATGCATAAGTCGTCGAAAAAAATTTTAATTCCTGGGAGGACCAAAGGCGGATATGTTTAACCAATTTTGGTCGACTGCAGGTCTTATTACTTAATGTCTTTTTCCACCTTTAGTACTTTATAGATGTAAGTCAAACATCCTTATTCTGCTCAGGACGTAAAATATCAGTGACGTTGTTCATATTTCATTGTGTGACGTTACATTGTTGAGACTTAGCTCATAGAACACTCGATTTTTGACCCTCGTATGTAAATTTTCTTCGCTTACTTCCTTTTGCACCTTGCCACACAATGTCTCAAATGAAACATTTTAACATAGTGAATGTTCAAGTGAGTCATAAGTTTTCCTTAAAGACAATTTGGGTACCTTTAATCGTTGATATGCATAGTAGAACGGATCCAATTATTATTATTATTATTATTATTATTATCAGTGGTAGTAGTAGCAGTAGTATTAGCACCATACTTTTAATGATAGTTTATACTTAATGATAACATTCCTGTTTTTGGTGATATTTATGGCAAAATTACTACCCATGACTTCACCAATTCTTCTTCTTTTATCCATACCTATAAATAGTGTTGCTGTACACTTATGTGAAATAGAAAACAAAACAAACCGTTCCTTAAATAATTATAATTAGTCTCAGTTAATGGCGCCTTTTCTGTATACTGTATTGAAATCCTCCAATAAATAGCGTTACACGTGCTGTAACAGGCAATGTAAGCTGACATAGGGTCAGGTTGGGAAAGAGCTAGTGGTGGTCAAACCAAAACATGGAATCAGTCAATAAAATCCACAACAGTTAGTTTAAGCCAGCCACGTAGGAAGGTGTAGACTTCCTGGTTGGGGTCCTCAAGACGGTAAGCAGCAATGGCTGGAGAAAATTATTGATATGGCTCAATGTGATCTTTCTCAATAAGTGGCGTGGATGCATCCACTCCTTGTGACTTTTAATACCCAATAAAACTATATTGTTCTTCTATATTACTATTCTTTTTTCACCTCTTATCTCTGTTTACTGTCTCTATTTTGCCTTTATTTTTACTTTCTCTGGATTTGTGTGCTGAGTGAAATGTGGTGACTCACACTGCTGCACATTAGTGCAAAGTTCTTTGTTTATGTCAGCTGTAGATTTCATTTGTTCATCACTGAACATTGCTGAAATACCTGAAATATTCAAACTGCCTCAACATTACTGAAGTGCTTTATATTGGCCTTAATCAGCTGTATTTGCAGACAGAAGGCTTAGGGATGGGAAGCCCTTTAGGACCCCTCTTTGCGAATATCTTTCTGGCGAGTTTAGAATATGCTGCGGTAAAGGACTGTATAGGAAAAGGTGACAGATAATTGCAGTGAATGGACAGCATATAGTTTTCAGTTATAAGGTTGAAGCTGAGTTAATGTTAGAGGACTTTAATTCGTGCCTTACAGCGGGACATAACGATGATACCATACAATTATTGCATGTAGAGAGATCTATATATAGTGAGCCAACTTAGACAGGACAATTCGTACATTGCAATAGCTTCGTCGCAGTCCAGTACAAAAGAAGCCTGGTTATAACATAATTCGATAGACGGAGGAGGATATTTTCAAGCAGTAGACTAGACTACGAGGAGAAATTCTTGAGGGAGAAACTAGTGACAAATGATTATTCGGAAAGGTTTATAAATAAGTATGCAAAAGATAATAAAGATTAATAACAGAAACTGTTACTAAGAAGAAGCATTAATATAAAGTTGCCTTTCAAGGGATATAACGTTACTCACTTGATGAAACGTCTCTTGAAGAAATCAGGTAAATGAACCTACTGTTCAGCTGATATTTTGCTCACAACCAACAACAGGTATAGTGCAAGCAACAAGCAAAGATAAGACACCGATCCTCATTTCATCAAAATATGTATATCAGTTTAAATATGTTTGTGAAAGCGAACACATTGGGCGTACAAAAAGATGTCTTTCGACTCGCGTTGTCGAACACTGCCCCAAATGGCGTTTTAGTACTTATTCATGATGGCATCCCAAGGAGCCCAATCACACGACATTTATTGGACTGTGATTATACGGTAACTTTAGGTAAAGGCTTTATCTGTCTGTCTGTTTTCGACACAGAACTCGGGAGTCATTCCATCAGGTCCCACTGCTTTGCCTAGTTTCAGATTGGTGACAGCTTTAGTAACCTCAGTTAGGAATGGAGGATGTGTGTCTATATCCCATTCAGGGAGGTGTTGGATGTTCGGCAGGTTGAGCGTGGCTGTGGGCCAATTAAACTGCTCCTCATAATGCTCTTTCCAACGATCCAGTCGTCTACCCTGAGAGCTAATTATAGTGCCATTTTTTTCCGAGATTGTCTCACTGATGATTTGTCTTCTCCCACCCGTTTCCCTGATGAGTCTAAATAGTTGCCTGGTGTTGCCTATCCTCGGAGCTTTCTCCATCTCTTTGGCTTTTGTCACCCACCACTGTTCACGGTCCTTGCGGAGACTTTTCGTAAGTTTCCTTTTGTGCAGCTTTCGCTCCTCATTGAATTCGGAGCTCGCCGGAATAAGTCTTCTAGCATCTATCAGTTCGGATGAGGCGGTGGAGATCCAGTGGTTTTTACTCCCCTTTGGGTTTACCTTATTCACAGCTTTTGCAGCTGTATCCATGGCTGCCTGGATATTCTTCCAAGCTTCTTCAGGGTGAGCACAGCTGTCGAATTCAGATATGTGTTTAGCTAGTTCTTCCTCAAATAGGGATTTAGTTTCCTGATTGAGCTGGGGACGTGATGGTTTTACCGCCAGCTGTTTCCTGCATCCGTTCAGTCGTAAGCACACTCGAGCGCGGACCAGTGCGTGGTCGGAATCTACACACGTGTTCCAGAAGGAGCGACAATCTCCTACCGACCCACACCAACGATAGCTTATTGCTATGTGGTCTATTTGTGTCCAGCGTTGGTTTGATGAAGGGGGTCTCCAAGTCAAACAGTGTCTCTCCTTGTGTTTGAAGTTAGTGCTTACAAGAAACAAATGATTATCAGAACAGAACTGTAGGAGGCGGTCACCGTTGTCGGTTCGCTGGCACGGAACTCCATAGGTGCCACCGACATCCTTCTCAGATTGACACAATTTCCCTACTTGAGCGTTAAAGTCACCAGCTAGAACGACTATGTCGGAGCGTTTAGCTTTTCGCACAAAACTAGACAGCTTTTGGTAGAACTCATGTTTCGTTTCATCTGAACTGCAGTCAGTGGGGGTGTAGGCGGAGATTACGAAAAGGCGTCGGCGAGTAGTGCAGTCCTTTCTCCTTTTTACTGACCCGTTCAGACGGACAGCACACATTCGGCTATCTACCGGGATCCAGTCAAGTAATGTCTTTTCTGCCCTAGTACTCAGAGCTATCCCTACACCCGCTAATCCTCGTGAACTAGCTGTGGCATCTCCTGACACCCTCAGGGTGAATTTTGCAGATTCAACCTCTTGGTCAGGTGGTGTTAGGTGAATAACCACACTTGGGTCTTGTATGCGTGTTTCTGAAACACAACACACATCAATGGCTCGGGATGCCGGGGTCTTGGCGAGTGATGCTTGTTGTGCTATTTGGCAAAGTGTCCTAACATTAAAAGCTCCTATATGAAATTGGTGGCGTGGCTTTAGGAGACTATCGGTGGTGGTTTTTTGGCTTCCATTGATTTTAGTGGATGCAGAGTAAAGAGGAAGTGGAGAGCTATCAAGCCGAGGAGTTGCATCAGTGGAAGGAAGGCAAGATGATAGAGATGAAGATGAAGACAAAGATGAGTGAGTAGTAGAGAGGTTTCGTGTGCGTTTCGGATTGTGAGGGCGATTGTTACTTCCCGGCTGCCCACACCGTGGAAGTTGGTTGCGTGACCGCAGAGCCCAGGGGACAACTGCTTGGGGCCTGTCACACGCGGCCTGCTTTTGTTTGTTCTTCGTTGTTTTGTGTGCCTCAGTAGCATATTTATCATTCCTGCCCTGTGACATGGCAGCAGGAAGCGCGGTCGTTGTTAATCCGGGCCACGGCCGATCCGGCATGAAATTTTGTGATTTTGTATTTATCATGATGTTGGATTGGGTAGCTGCTTTTTGTTTAACCGCTATCCAAACAACCTGCCTGGCGTGGTAGGACCTCAAGAGACATAAGTCTCAGCCAGTATAGCTTGAATAGATCATTGCGGTGTTCAAGCCCAACCACCACGTCAAGGTAGCAGCTTTCGGTCGGGATGTTGAAATTTACACTTATTTGTTGTAACAGTGTTCATATATATATATATATATATATATATATATATATATATAACCTTTGAAATTTTTTTTACAAATAACAATGTCTATAGAGTATTCAACAGACAAATACTACCCAAATTTATGAACTCACCGATATTCTGCTTCTTTTCACAGTTGTTGCTTGTTTTAAGTTCAGCGAATTCAGAATTCAAGCTGTGCCTTGCGTACTGGATGTTGAGTAGTGCTATGTAGTACGCCTTTATATATGCTTTGGTATATAACACAAATATCATACACAAAATGACTGATTTGTGGTAAATTTAAATCCAGAGGATATTGCAACTGTAATTTCTGTAATTTCATTCTTTTTTATAGGTTGACTGTTGACATAGTCCTGCCAATGAGAAGTCTAGCTCAAAGTTTTCTATGCACAGATCTAGTATCTTCCTGTGAAGCATATATTTATAAAAACTTCGAAGCTGTAGCCCGAACAAGTTCATTTTTCAACCTTGATGGATCTGAATTACTGGAATTATTGGACTCAGATGAACTACGTGTCAGCAGTGAAGAACGACTTTTTCATATTGTTATGTCATGGGTTGAATACGACATGATGAAACCTAAATTCAGTGTTGATACAAATTCTGTTACATCAGAATCTGTTAACTTGATCGAATTCTCTGATAGTCGTAATGCTAATCTAAACTCAAAAAGACCATTTAGCGCTAATGGCAATGATTTTCGAACATCATACTCCAGTGGATCTTCACCTTCTTTACATCACTCACTGGATCTCAATACTTCTCAGGTATTCAGTAATAAGCCCAAAATACCTCGCACTGAATTTCTTCCGTGTTTATTGAGACGCATCAGATTACCACTTATTCCAGTCAGTTTTATTTTCTCTGTTATTTCTCGACATGAACTTATTCGTCAAGATATACGTTGTAGGTAAGTCACTCTGAGGGTCATAGTATATTATAGACGTAAATAAATACAATTCATAGGTTATTTCTCCACTTATGCTTAAATGTATATTATTATTATTACTAAGGTATCGTCAAATTATGCACGTATCAAATCGCAACGTTATTCATCACCATCGAATAGGGTGTACAATAGCAGTCAAGTCTGTACCTCAAGTTCATCGACTTTTAAAACGTCCTTCGGTAGCTTCAACCGTGATGTAATTTGGAAACTGCTTCAACACTACTGAGTCCCCCCACCCCCCAAACCTTTACAAACCATGTTCAACAGTTGTATGATAATGCCATATGCCAAGTGATTCACAACAGAAACGTTAGTGAAGTAGTTGAATTAAAGATAGGGGCAGCACAAAACTGTCTACCGATGGTATTCCTGACTGTGGTGGACAGGACCATACAGCAGATCAAATGGGCATACGCTGAACTGACAAAAAGACTAGGAGATTTGGACTTAACAGATAATTTATGTCTATTGCCATACAAACTCCAAGATCTGCAGGCGGAAACCAACAGGTTGGCGAGAGAGACAGTCATGAAAGGACTTTGGGTGAGAGAAGACAGAAGCGATGAAGATATCCATCTACCACTAACAGCAATTACCAATCTGCATAAACAGGAGAAATCCGAAGGAAGTTACCTCTTTCACGTATCTAGGTAGCATTGTTTCAACTAAAGGTGGCAAGAATTGAGGACGTCAAAGGCGAAATCGGAAAACTGAGAAAGACGTTCATTAATCTGAAATCACTGGGGATTTACTCCGTTCAGCATGGAGAACAACATCTGAGTCTTCCTGGGAATCATATTCAGTATCTACATATCAAGTATAAACTTAAGTATACTGTGGACATGTCGAATTATGTGGGGAAAGATTTGTCGCGTTAAAATAACTTTTAGCTATATTACCATCCCTTTGCGATATTATTACTTTATACATTCGTATAGCATAACTACTCTTGTGTAAAGTGTTTTTCTCCCTTGTGTTCCACTTAGGTAAGAGTACTTTAAAATTTTGCTACGCGATCGATTTGCGTTAATTGCTAATGTAGACACAAGATGGTAATTGATCAAAAGTATTGATCCTTTCAAAAGAATCACCGACAAGAAGCTATAGGGACAAACAAAACAAGAACCAATTGCCAACCAACAAATATGCAGGAGAAAGTGGAGATGGATGGATTGGACACTCGCTCACTGAGGAGGCCGCCGCTGGGTGATATCGCGCGCGCGTCAGGCCATTGCTCGAGTGGAACCAGGCCGAAAGGGAAGCACGCGGCGAGTGGGACATCAGTGCAAGGGTGACATGGAGGAGATCGTGTGAAGAGGAGTTGAAATAGTATGGACTAACATGGATGCAGGTGAAAAGTACAGCAGAGGGAAGACAGAAGCAAGTGGAAACGTGTAGTTTGAAGCCCTATGTTCCACTAGGAACCCAAGGGAGCAATAAATAAATAAAAATAATAACTTCATATTTTGTTACGGATTTCATTTGAAAGATATTTTTGGAAAGCGATCGTTAAAAAGAAGAGACAGTCGCTTCATAATGCGGAAAAATTTCGGACTTTTTTCACTGCTGTATGTGAATTGTGTACTAGTCACTATATAGACGGTAGAGATAAGAAACCGTGAATGTCCCACTAGACGAATTATAATTCACTGGTCAATGAATGAATAAACATGTGTCCTGAATTCGTTTTCAGCCGAAATTTGGCTGAACTCAATTTAGATTTGACGAGGAACTGATATCAGTTACAATATCATTAAAAACCAGTGAGTATATAACAGCATTTTTGTCCTCTTTTGAGAGTGCACCCAAATGAGCTGTAGCGTGAAGTCAATCGAATCTCAATGAAACGGTAATTGAAAATTAATCCAATTCTCATTGCTGACTGACTACTATGTGTTAGACTTCCTGGCGTTCTAATAGGAAGCCGTGACCAGTGGGATTTGTTAAGTCGGGTATGACAACCGATGCGAGCCGATGATATTGGCTGACAATGGGGTTATAAATCGCTCAGTGAGAGTTCAGAGTTGGAGTTCATGGGACGTTGCATCCTGCTATGTTGGCTGAGTAGTAGCGTGTCCACCTCGTAAAACTTAAGGTCATGTGATTGGTCCTTATTGGAGTTGTAGGCGCATACTACTAAGGCGACCTAAACTAAAACTGTTAAGCACTCTGTGGTTTTCATTGTTTGTGTAATTGACACTTGTTCTTGATTGGTTACAGGATTTCATCATGAGCTGACATTGAGTAGAGAACCATTCGAAAACCTGGGAGTACTGGACAGTTGTTTAGTCCTAGTCTGGGACTCCTCAGCAGTACGCACCCACCAACAGGAGGTTCGAACCAAGGACCTTCTGGTTACAAGGTGAGCTTATAGACCATTAAACCACTGGGACCCGATCCAATATGAAGAGAATGCTGAATTTTGTTGTATGCACCCCCAAAGTATTGATCATATGCCATCACAGAGTGGATGATGTTAGGAATTAGGTGGAAAATGCAGATCAGTCGAAGTGGATAGTACATCCGTTACTCATTCTAAGTAGCTATTTGTCTAAAACGAGGCTGCCATGTGAAATAGAATTATGTGAGAAAAATTTTAAGGGTATCCAGGCTGAATTGTAGTACAGTAACTGTTCGTCTATGTCATGTAGATAAGTTTAGAGTAGATGGTTGGTATCGTAATACTCATGTAGTATCATCACCTTTGTATTCTATTGTTTTGTGTTCGTATTCTCAGTCCATCAACCTGAACTAATACACATCTCTTTGTCAGTCTATCCTATTCTCAAATTCAGGATATCCATTCCATTATGGATACAATTTATTTTGATAAAGTCACTCAGTGTTTTACAGTAATATTTACTGATGTTTCGGGGACAAATTATTGCTCACAATCATATCAATGTTCTCATACTCATATATATATATATATATATATATATATATATATATATATATATATATATATATATATATATATATATATATATATATATATATATATATGAGTAAAAGTTGATTAGACGTATGAATAAAATCAATAAACGAAGCAAGAAAGTTATGTGAATACCTTGATATGATTATAAACAATAGATTGTGCTCGAAGCGTTATCACTAAATATTACTGTGTGACTGCATCAAAATAAATTGTATCCATAATGTAATTATACTCTACCATAGTGCTCAAGTTTTATCCTAATATCAATATGATTAATATTTTAGTACTCAGTTCTAATTTTCAATTATAACTCCTCTACTTCTCTGTTTATTTGAAAACTGAACTCCTACGCTGTCGGATAAAATAGAATAAATGATGGATAGCATCGAGAAAACAATTAAGCATCCTTATGAAGAATATTCAAAGGGTGCCTCACTACTTTGTGTCGCTTTCAGAAAGAGGAAGAAAGGGGAAATTGACTGCAATTTTGACGGTGTCTGATAACGTCTCGAAGTGCTGTTTCAAATGATCTGTCTTACCTCACATAAGGAATTAAGACACACCAGCTGCTTAACGAACACAAATCTCTTCCCAGCAGCGCTACATCATGTTTTGATAGCCCTTCTGTTTGTCATACACAATATCAGGCCTAGCACTAGTGAACGGTATGGGAGCGATTGGATGGCATGTCTAAGCCTTCGGAGCTGGTGTTCCAAGGCCACGACACTTATTGGAAGACTGTTTCAACCGTCTCCAAACAAATGCTGCCGGACCATGTCATTATTTATATGCTGAATGCAAGCACTTCTACAGAGGCAGGGACGATCGAATAAACAGAGTCACCGCACACCCTCAGCTCGAAAAGGCCAGGTTTTACGGGTATAGAGCAAGAAGCATTGCTAACCGTACCTTTGGTGGCCAGTCTAACGCTGTGACGGGCTCTAGATTGGAGTATGCGATCCTGACTTTCACTATATGACTGGAGGTCTCATCTGTCACATGTCTGCCAGTATCCAAAGATATATATCTAGGTGTATGGACTTATCGATTGCTGCTTACGGTTCATTTGCAAGGGTAAGTGCAGGTACAAGTTTTCTCTATCTCCCAAGAGTACTTTGCACTTGAATGAAAAGAAGCACATACCATTATTATAGACACTGACCGTTTACTGACTAAGTGTGATTTGGCCAGTCTGTATATTATCGTATAGTCAATTTCCTCTAGAAGCAAATCAACACCACAATCATGGACATCCTTCACAGCTGCCTCCAGAATGTCATCGATAGCAAAGGTAAAGAGGAATGGAGAGATTGAACAATCCTGTCCTACTCTAATGTTGGTTGAGCTGTTAGCTGGTTATATGTCCTCACTTTGTCTGAAGTGTTTCTGTCTATGGCTTTCTCGATGTTAAAAACTTTCCAAGAATACCTATCTTTCTCAAAGAACAGTTCTTTCCAACGAATCGAAGGCAGTCCAAATATCAAGAAATATGAGTATTATTGGTCTGCAATGCGTCTGATGGTGTTCTAGCAACTGACGTAAGATGAACATGTTGTAATACATCCTCAATCTGGACGAAACCTTACCTGCTCTTCTCGAATCAACTTATCAGGCGCTTAAAACAGTCTACAGAACACGATAGCAGTCTATATTTTAGGCACAATTGACAGCGGACTTATTTGGGAAGTACCATCAGCCCCAACGGGCTGATCTCTGACGAAATCTCAGCACGAATACAAGGGGCTCGTTTCGCATTTGTTAGTTTACGCCGACTCTGGCGTAGACGAGATGTTCGACTATCGACCAAAGGGTGGGTGTACTGCTCATCTGTCCGCTCCGTCCCCCTTTATGGTTGTGAGACCTGGCCACTGAGAGTGGAAGATATGAAAAGACTAGCTGTCTTTGATCATAGGTGCCTGCGTTCTATTTCCCGTGTAAAGTGGCATAATAAGGTGAGCAACATTGAGGTTAGGCGTAGAGTTCTAGGTAAACAGGGGAAATCAATCGACGAAGTCGTGAAGCTACAAAGACTGAGATGGTTAGGACATGTGTTACGTATGCCAAGTCATCGCCTCCCTCGACGGGCTATGTTAGCCGATATAGGGTCAGGCTGGAAAAAAGCTAGCGGCGGTCAAACAAAAACTTGGCCTCACCAGTCAATGAAATCCACAACAGTTGGTCTAAGCCACGTAGAAAGGTGTAGACTAGCTTCCTGGTTGGGGTCCTCGGGACGGTAAAAATCTATGGTTGGAAACAATTGGTGACATGGCTCAAAACCGTTCTCAGTGGCGCAGATGCATCCACTCCCTGTGACTTATGGTCTTCAATGAAACTGTTTTGTATTTCTTTATTACTCCTTTGTCTCACACCTCTGCTCACTGTTTCTATTATGTTTTTCTTGTACTTTCTTCTCTTGCTTCGCGTGCTACACGGAATGTGGCGACTTGAACTTCCACACATTTGTGCAAAGTTCTATGTCGAAAACAGACAGACAGACATAGATAACTGTCAGTTGTGTTACTTAGGCCTTTCATAAAGACAGGTACGATGTTAGCTCTAATCTACACTGTTGGAACACAATTTATTGCTTGAATCGTCACCAGTAAAAATTTCTGTATAGCACTGTGAGACTTTAACAAAGTAAAATTTTATCCATAATGGAATTATTCTCTACGACAGTGCCCACGTGCTATCCTGAATACAGCTACTGGTTCCATCTCACACACACACGTCCTGACCAACAGACTTCGCGGTCATTATGTAAGCATTGATCCTATGCTTAAGAGCCTTGCACATTTCGTTATACTCGCTTTACGCTAGCATGGACTGACTAGCGTCAAAAAGTTACAAGAAATTCTCAGAATCCCGGTGCCTTTCGACAGGAGATCCGTGTCGCAATAAGAAGCTGAAGCTGCACTCATTCCGAATGGAATACAATGTCTCGGTAGCGCATCTCGAATATACTCTTTTCTCTGCAATCGCTCATAGTTGGCCCCACCACTGCCCAGCAACTTTCACTTCTTCACACAGCCTGACTTCCCGCTTTCCACTCGACGACCTGGTTTGCGGTATCTCGTGAATGTCTCCTCAACGTGTGTCTAATCCTTCGACATTTCCTTCTGTATACTTCCTGGAGGATAGGTTGTCAGCCACTGTGTCGCGAGAGTTCTTTGCTGCCTACTCTTTTCCGGTAACTATTTGGTCTCCACTATTTAAACGAAGACAGTTGTTGACGGAAGTTTTCAGCTGGCTGCTGAAAATGCTTCTGGTGTTGCATCAAGTCTTTGGGCCATATAGAAACACTGATTAATTCAAGTACTTATTGCGAAGAGTAGTACTCAGTGAAATTGTTATATCAATTTTCTTTCAACTTTCATAATGACTCAAGTATATAGACCAAAATATTTACAAGTGTCACCTAACTGCATATTTCGTATTATTACTTGCAGTAATATTAATGTATAGGTAATGTAAACGTTTTTTACAGCCTCCTTTCACAATAATATAAACAAATTTATTTTTATCACAGAAAGAAGAAACATTGGCGCAGATTAATCTTGATCCATTTTATTTCGTTGGTTCTCATCAGCTGCGTACAACCTTTGTCCATCAGCAAGGATATTGTCAGAGTGTCATAGTAAAATGAGGCGTTGCGATTTTCAGGGTATCTAAAGTGTTACGACATCTTGTTAGAGAGAAGTTTCTTGAAAAAAATTAATTAACATTTGTGTTGTTGTGGTGGTAACAAAAGACAATTGGTAACAGTTACGGAATTAGATAAGAGAAGATCCAAATTTCGGTGCACATGAGGTCAGATGAGAAATTGATGATGTAATACAGTGTGCAGAACTCAGAAGATCAAGAAAAATTATCTCTTTAGGGAGTCAAGCGAAAAATAAAGTGGGTGGGGAGTGAAAAGATAAGTTAACAAAATTAGAAAACAAAGAGTTACTAAGATGTGAGTCACCAGGGTAATTGAAGTCCAATAACGAATTCTTTATGGACACATAAGTCAGGCTTCAGTCGTTTTATTGCTACAGCTTCAGCAAACATGAGAAGACTTGAGGTACTTTGTCTGTTAATTATTTTGAATGATTCCAGCACATCTACTCGGTGTCCTGTGTCAATCAGGTGTTTGGCGATCGAAGAGCTTAAACAATTCGGTCACTTTAATCGGAGGCTCCTTGGTACATGCTCGCAGAATCTGACGTAGGCCCTCCTCTGTGTTCTTCCAATGTAACTGCTCCCGTAGATACACGTGAATCGGTATACACAGTTGGAGGTAACATGTGAGTGGTACTTGTCAATCTTTGACTGCACCAGTTAGAAGGTTGTTCGGGATAGAGAAACTAATTACGCTTCAGGATACGTCCTAGACAGGGCTGCGCTTAATCTTTTATTTACTATCCTCATAATGTCGTCTCCCTTGTAGTCGAGTTTGATGAAAATAGGCTTCTTACTGACTGTAGCTGTATCAAGCTTCTTGAGTTCATTCTTGCCATATTTGTTAATGAAACTTTATGGGTAACCTCTGACAATATGCTTGCTAATGGACAAAGGTCGTACGCAGCTGATGATAACCAACGAAATAAAATGGATCCAGATTATTCTGCGCCAATGTTTCTTCTTTCTTTGTTCAAATTTATTAAAGGGAATCATTGTATGAAATTATTTTTATCACTTTAATTATCATTCTATTTTGCAAATATTCCACTTTATTATTAGAAGTTACTTTTCTTATGGGCTTTAAAAAATATATTATATAACTTAATTTTCTTGCAGAGATATTTTAGACGAAGTACGTGATATGCTTCTAATGCCAGGACAGACACCGAAAAACTTTATTTGTCGACCACGAAGATGTCAAGATGTATTCGGTGTTATTTATGCTGTTGGCGGGTTAACTGCAGATTTAGAATGTCATGGAGTTGTTGAAACATATCATCCTTCATTTGGTCGTTGGGAATTATCAGAGAGTATGATTTCAAAACGTAGTCGTATTGGAGTTGTTGCATTGAATGGTACGTCTAATTGATTGAATTTTATACATTTTAACTGCTTTTATTATTCATTAGATTAGAATTTTCCTAACTGAATAGTTTTTTATTCCTTTGTGTTCCGAGTGTGGGGGGGCATGTAGCACCAAGTTTGGGCTATGAAGTGTCAGTAGTGATGGGGTTGCTAGCCTGATGATGTCAAACCCTCCCTCTATTCCACATCAACTGTTGTCTAGTAAACTAGGCGAGGTTTATGAGTGAGTTAGTAGGGAATCGAACCCCAGGCTACAGGTGTCGTTGGCAAGGGTGTTCTACCACTGGACCATCGATGCATATATTATTGAGTGGTGAGACAACAAAAAGAAAGTGATAGATTTAGCTCCCCTCTCCCTCTCTCTCTTTCTGGTCGCCATTCATCTTCAACGCAGATGTGCATCCCTTATAGGAACAAAATTCAACTGTCGAATTTCAATGATAGTTTCTTGTGGTATTTATTAGTCATTATTCATGTTACTAATAGTTAAATGGTTGACACATGCACTATGTATATTTTTGATGTCTGTGTTGAAAAGGTTGTTTAGAAAGATAACAATGAAAGCTTGACAAATAAACCTCCAGGCTTAGAGGGCACTGATACATCAATATTTTTCATCCTTGTTCAATCTTGTTAATGAAAGGAATTAGTTTGAAAGTCCTCATTGAGTCATATGAAAAAGAGAAGAGACTCTTTTCGCCGGCGAATTCATTCACATAGCTGTACAATCGCATTTATAGATAATTACTTGTGTGTGTGTGTGTGTACATCAGTCAAGTTTAGATAATTGATCAGGTAATACAAAAATAATCTAATATAGAAACAAGGTTAATTAGACAGCAACTAAAGTAAAATTGAATTAGTAAGTTAGATGACGTAACATAATTGACTGAAATGTTTCAACTTAGGTCAAGGTACCAACAGAGGTAATTACAGGTAGAGACTAAGTAAGAGTGGGGTAGTGAATAATACCGTTTAAATTAGAACTGAAATTGAGTAAATAAGTTGGATGACGTAACATAAATTACTAGAAATTGAGCGTTGGTCAAGTCAGTAACAGTGGTAAAGAGGTGTATAAATCAGGTGGAGGTAGAGAACAAGAAAGTTGAAAGTGCAAAATAATACAATTGAGAAGACAAAATAATACTATACGAAATAATAATATCATTAGTCATTTATGTTACATCATCCAACTTATTTGCTCAATTTCAGTTCTAATTTAATTGGCATTATTCTTTACCCCACCTCTACTTAGTGTCTACCTGTAATTACCTCTGTTGCTACCCTGACATAAGTTGAAACATTTCAGTCAATTATATTACGTCATCAAATTTACTAACTCAATCTTACTTTAGTTTATTACTATTGTTCCCTTGGGTTCCTAGTGAAACATAGCGCTTCAACTGCACGTCTCCATTTGCTTCTGTCCTCCCTCTGCTGTACTTTTCACCTGCATCCATGTTACTCCATACTGACTGTTTAAACTCCTCAACTCCTCACACGATCTCCTCCATGTCATCCTTGCTCTGACGTCCCACTCGCCGCGTGCTTCCCTTTCGGCCTGGTTCCACTCGAGCAATGACCTGACGCGCGCGCGATGTCACCCAGCGGCCTCCTCAGTTACTTTAGTTGCCGTCTGATTAACCTTGTTTCTATATTAGGTAATTCTTGTATTATCGGATTAATTATCTAAACTTGACAAACCTCATGTACACACACACACACGCACAAGTAATTACCTGTCTGTCTGTCTGTTTTCGACATAGAACTTTGCACAAATGTGCGGAAGTTCAAGTCGCCACATTCCGTGTAGCACGCGAAGCAAGAGAAGAAAGTACAAGAAAAGCATAATAGAAACAGTGAGCAGAGGTGTGAGACAAAGGAGTAATAAAGAAATACAAAACAGTTTCATTGAAGATCATAAGTCACAGGGAGTGGATGCATCTGCGCCACTGAGAACGATTTTGAGCCATGTCACCAATTGTTTCCAACCATAGATTTTTACCGTCCCGAGGACCCCAGCCTGGAAGTCTACACCTTCCTACGTGGCTTAGACCAACTGTTGTGGATTTCATTGACTGATGCCAAGTTTTTGTTTGACCGCCGCTAGCTTTTTTCCAGCCTGACCCTATATCCGCTAACATTCCTCGTCGAGGGAGGCGATGGCTTGGCATACGTAACACATGTCCTAACCATCTCAGTCTTTGTAGCTTCACGACTTCGTCGATTGATTTCCCCTGTTTACCTAGAACTCTACGCCTAACCTCCATGTTGCTCACCTTATTATGCCACTTTACACGGGAAATAGAACGCAGGCACCTATGATCAAAGACAGCTAGTCTTTTCATGTCTTCCACTCTCAGTGGCCAGGTCTCACAACCATAAAGGAGGACGGAGCGGACTGATGAGCAGTACACCCGCCCTTTGGTCGATAGTCGAACATCTCGTCTACGCCAGAGTCGGCGTAAACTAACAAATGCGAAACGAGCCCCTTGTATTCGTGCTGAGATTTCGTCAGAGATCAGCCCGTTGGGGCTGATGGTACTTCCCAAATAAGTGAAGCGGTCAACGTGCTCTACCACTTCACTTCCTATTTTTAAACTAGGCGTCGATGTAGTCCAGTCCTGTAACATCATCTTGCATTTGGCGGGAGCGAATCGCATGCCAAACATTCGTAGATTGCGGCTCAAGGTGTTTAGAAGACTCTGCATTTCGTCAGCGTCTTCGCCTAGAAGGACTATATCGTCTGCATATTCCAAGTCAACGAGATTATTCCCGGTAGCAAGTCAATCCCTGAGTCGCTGAAGTCACCTAGGGTTAAGTCCATTAACACATCTATGATGAAGTTGAATAGAAAAGGAGATAATGGGCATCCTTGACGGACACCACTGGTCGTCATCAGTTCAGATGACAGCTCGCCGTAAGCCCTCACCTGGCTGTATGAGTACGAGTAGAGTGCCTTAATCAGTGCAATATATTTTCTCGGAATTCCCTTTACAGCCAAGCATCTCCAGAGAACTTCCCGATCGACAGAGTCGAATGCTGCCTTTAGGTCAAGAAATATAATGACTGTTGGACGCCGGTAGGAATGCCTATGTTCTAGAATCTGTCGGAGGGTGAAGATATGATCAATACACCCTCTTCCTGGTCTAAAGCCTGCCTGGCTCTCTCGTGTTTGTGCTTCCCGAGCACCACTCAGTCTACGCATGATTATTGAGCCTAAGACTTTAGATACTATATTAGTCAAGCTAATCCCTCTGTGATTATCACAGGAAGACTTGTCTCCCTTCTTGTATATGGGGATAATCAGTGACTTACACCAACCCGATGGGACTTCTTCTGATTCCCAGACGCTGCCTAGTACCTCAGTTAATCCGGACAGTAAGCTGTCTCCACCGTACTTAAATACCTCTGGAGTCATTCCATCAGGTCCCGCTGCTTTGCCTAGTTTCAGATTGGTGACAGCTTTAGTAACCTCAGTTAGTGACGGAGGACCTGTGTCTATATCCCATTCAGGGAGGTGTTGGATGCTCGGAAGGTTGAGCGTGGCTGTGGGCAAATTAAACTGCTCCTCATAATGCTCTTTCCAACGATCCAGTCGTCTATCCTGTGAGCTAATTATAGTGCCATTTTTTTCCGAGATTGTCTCACTAATGATTTGTCTTCTCCCACCCGTTTCCCTGATGAGTCCAAAGAGTTGCCTGGTGTTGCCTATCCTCGAAGCTTTCTCCATCTCTTTGGCTTTTGTCGCCCACCACTGTTCACGGTCCTTGCGGAGACTTTTCGTAAGTTTCCTCTTGTGCAGCTTTCGCTCCTCATTGAATTCGGAGCTCGCCGGAATAAGTCTTCTAGCATCTATCAGTTCGGATGAGGCGGTGGAGATCCAGTGGTTTTTACTCACCTTTGGGTTTACCTTATTCACAGCTTTTACAGCTGTATCTATGGCTGCCTGGATATTTTTCCAAGCTTCTTCAGGGTGAGCACAGCTGTCGAACACAGATATGTGTTTAGCTAGTTCTTCCTCAAATACGGATTTAGTTTCCTGATCGAGCTGGGGACGTGATGGTTTTACCGCCAGCTGTTTCCTACGTCCGTTCAGTCGTAAGCACACCCGAGCGCGGACCAGTGCATGGTCGGTATCTACGCACGTGTTCCAGAAGGAGCGACAATCTCCTACCGACCCACGCCAACGATAGCTTATTGCTATGTGGTCTATTTGTGTCCAGCGTTGGTTTGATGAAGGGGGTCTCCAAGTCAAACAGTGTCTCTCCTTGTGTTTGAAGTTAGTGCTTACAAGAAACAAATGATTATCAGAGCAGAACTGTAGGAGACGGTCACCGTTGTCGGTTCGCTGGCACGGAACTCCATAGGTGCCACCGACATCCTTCTCAGATTGACACAATTTCCCTACTTGAGCGTTAAAGTCACCAGCTAGAACGACTATGTCTGAGCGTTTAGCCTTTCCACCAAACTAGACAGCTTTTGGTAGAACTCATCCTTCGTTTCATCTGAACTGCAGTCAGTGGGGGCGTAGGCGGAGATTACGAAAAGGCATCGGCGAGTAGTGCAGTCCTTCCTCCTTCTTACTGATCCGTTCAGGCGGACAGCACACATTCGGCTATCTACCGGGATCCAGTCAAGCAATGTCTTTTCTGCCCTAGTACTCAAAGCTATCCCTACGCCAGCTAATCCTCGTGAACTAGCTGTGGCATCTCCTGACACCCTCAAGGTGAATTTTGCAGATTCAACCTGTTGGCCAGGTGGGGTTAGGTGAATAACCACACTTGGGTCTTGTATGCGTGTTTCTGAAACACAGCATACATCAATGGCTCGTGATGCCAGGGTCTTGGCTAGTGATGCTTGTTGTCCTATTTGGCAAAGTGTCCTAACATTAAGAGCTCCTATATGAAATTGGTGGCGCGGCTTTAAGAGGCTGTCGGTGGTGGTTTTTTGGCTTCCATCGTTTTTAGTGGACGCAGAGTGGAGAGGA